TCGCTAACCGCGCAAATTCTTTTTCAGAAATTCCGTTGCCGTTGATGCGGACGCGTTCGGTGACGGAAATCAGATGCGGCGAAACCGTCGCGCCGACTTCGATTTTCGCCTGAACGCAGATAGATTCGAGAAAAGCGACCGTTGAGCCTTTCCCGTTCGTTCCCGCAATTTGAATTTTTAAGTATTTTTTTTCGGGATTTCCGAGCGCGGAAAGCAATGTGCGGATATTTTCCAATCCGAGTTTCATAGCCAAAACTTCATTGCCTAAGCCGTAAAGATAGTTTTGAGATTCGGAAAAATTCATTGGATTGAGATAAGTAAAATTATTAGAAATTGGGAGATTTCAGTCCAAAACTTTACTTTCTCGATTGTTCATCGTGCATCATAAAATTCAGCAGACGAATAACCGTGTCGCGCATTTCGCGGCGGTCAACGACCATATCGAGCATTCCGTGTTCGAGCAAAAACTCCGAACGCTGAAAGCCTTTCGGCAGTTTTTGGCGAATTGTTTGTTCGATCACCCGCGGTCCCGCAAATCCGATCAAAGCCTTGGGTTCGCCGATATTTACATCGCCGAGCATCGCAAAACTCGCCGTCACGCCGCCCGTCGTCGGGTCGGTCAAAATGGAAATGAACGGCAAACCTTTTTGATGAAGCTGTGCGAGCGCGGCGGAAATTTTCGCCATCTGCATTAATGAAAGCGTTCCTTCCTGCATCCGCGCACCGCCCGAAGCGGCAAATATCACGACCGCACCGTTCGTTTTCTTGGCGCGTTCGATCAATCGGGTGATTTTTTCACCGACTGCCGAACCCATCGAACCGCCGATGAACGACATATCCATCGCGCCGGCATAAACCGGATGCCCGCCGACCTTTCCTTTGCCGGAAACGATTGCTTCGGGTAATCCCGAAGATTTTTTGGCGGCTTCGATGCGTTCGATATACGGCTTCGTATCGACAAAGTTCAGCGGATCGGTCGAGGTGACTTCTTCATCGAGCTTTTCGTATTCGCCGTTGTCGAAAAGCGTGTCGAGCCGTTCACGCGCACCGAACCGAAAATGATGAGCACAATGCGTGCAAACCTGTAACGATTCTTTTAATTCCCTTTTGTAGAGCGCACTGTCGCATTCGGGACATTTTACAAAAATCCCTTCGGTTTTGACTTTGCGCTCTTCCTCGTTAGATTGTTCTTCGATTTTTGGTTTCTTTCTGCTAAACCAAGACATAAATTTTATAATTGCGAATATCGGAAAATAATGGATTAGCTTAACACAAGCAAAAAAGAGGTTAAAGCAGACAGATGAATTGTAAAAATAATGCGTTTTTCGGCGACGCGGATTTTTTGAAAATCAACTCTCAATTCCGCTTTTTGATTTAGATTGTGAGCCGCTTGAATTTGTGTTAGATTCAGAATCGATTTCAATATTTTAAGCTTACTTTTTTCTGAGGTTCCGATGCAAAAATCCTTCTTTTTCTGCCTTTTGTTTCTGTTTTTATT